AGCGGGCGGCAGGAGAGGTCTGCGCGCCATGTGGGACCCTCCTCTGGTGGCCGGGGAGCAGCCGGGGATTGAACCGGCGCCGCAGAGGCCGCAGGCAGCTTCGCAACCCAGAGCTCAACTGCTGCGCCACTGGGGAGGCCCGTCAGCATATTGTTTTGATGCAAGCATGCGGAGATTTCAGGAGTGGGGGAGGCGCACGGGGAGGGGAGGAGGGGGGCTTGCTGCCCCAGCCAGGTAAGATGCCAGCAAGCAGCTAAGAAAAGGACCTCACACTGTGGGATTGTAGACTTTCAAAGAGCCTCACACTGTGGGGCTAAAGATTAATCTATAACCTATAAGCATCCCTTTGTTTTTGTTTTTTTTTTTGTTCTTGGTCATAAAAAGAGAAAAACCTCTCAGAAAATACATTGGGCAATAAAGTATATGTATAAGAATATTATAAGCACATGGCTCGGAGAATTACCTGCTTAAAAATTAAACACTGTGAATTTGGCCTGCCTGACAATGGGAAAGAGTTTGTTATACATGAACATGCCTGACAAGCAATGCAGGACAATTATAGTAAGTCCTTCTTTTGCTTTTTTTAGAAGTTTCTTAGGAAAGTTTTTAAATGAAGTTAATTGTGCTAAGAAGTTTCTAGGTAGAAAACCCTGTTAGCTGATAACCAGAAAGCAGCTGGTCTCTGGCTGAAGGCCATATAATAAGAATCTTTTGATACTTAGTCTTTACCTGATAGGCGTGTACCAACCGCTATCAACTGTCTTGGGTAATTGTCTAGCTGAAATAATGAATTTCAGTGTAACGCTTAGTTTTTTATCTACTAACCTTGAAGGTTGCCTTCTTGCTGAGAGCACGTAGCAGCCAAAAGTCTATGGGAAAAAAATACAACGATTGCTTTTGCTTTGCTTCCATGCATGTGATGATGTCATCTCACTGCTTGCCTTAGTGTATAAATAAAGACTTGCTGAGACCCTTGGAGAGAGACACTAACAAAAGACATTGCATGTGTCTGCCTCATTCCTCAATTGCGCCCAACGCTGTCCCATCCTTCAGGAGCCCCTGACACCCAGATTGCCGAGGCTGGTCTTCAGCACAGGAGGGCACCAGCTTGCTTTGTTAACACCTGATTAATTTCCTTAGATGCTTAACTTCCTTATTATCTTCTTCTAGGGGTGTCCTTCTTTTTCCTTGGAATGCAAGAAGACAAACTTGTTAATGCAACAGATAGGAATGCTTAACTGATGGGGCAGGAAGAGACACCTGTCCTGTTTCACTGCTTCACCAGAACCCCCAAACCTGCCCACTCTATTTTTGTTGTTGTTTTTTTCCTTTTTCCTTTTTTCTTTATTTTTTTTTACTTTTGTTTCTTCCTGACCCTGACCCTGACCCTAACCCTTTTTTTAAATTTTATTTATTTATTTATTTATTTATTTATTTATTACTTTTATTTTTCCCTAACCCTAACCGTCAAACCACATCAAAACTAAACATAAGACTTTTAATGGAAGGGGACTTTGATACAATTAGTGTGCAAAAAAAGAAGGGAAAGAATAGAGAAATGGTTTCTAAATCAAACACCCAAAGTTACCCATCCCTATGTAGGTAAATGCCCGGCCTAACAGGTTTGGCCCAAAGCAGGGACACTGAGGCCCAACAACCTGCCACAAGTCTAAGGCACCTTCTGGTGGGGACCAATAGGAAAGGGGTAGAAGGGGGGCCAGACAAGTCTGAAAGGAAAAGAGCAAAATCAAAATCAATATAATCATTGCCATTGTTACCCTCCCACGGGTCTCTCACCCACGTCTGTTTCAAGTGTCTCTTCCATATCCCCTGTCTCTGGCACCAGTCCAAGGCTGAGAGCAGGCACAGCTTCTTAACGTCTCTCTCTGCTCCACGTGCTGCCTCCATGTCTTCCTGTTCTCTGTCCTCTGCCTTCCTTCTTCTCTCTCTCTTTTTTTTTTTAAAGATTTATTTATTTATTTATACAAGCACTGGGCACAGTCAGAAGCGCGGGTTATGGTTTCCCTAACACTAGTCCCTGAGTTAACTAATATGGTTGGTGTTGGAAGGAGGCATACACAGGCCAAGGGGTAGGGCGTCTGGACAGACTGTTTCTCCTGTATGGGTCAAGAGTTTTTTGATCCCTAGCCAGGGAGCTGACCCACATGGCGCAACAGACCTCTCCTGTCTCACCCACTGCTCCCCTCAGCAGTAGATCTGCTGTTCTGCTCCTCACTCTTTCTCTCTGGTGAATCCTCTCACTCCAGTTCTTCTATGCATTGATACATAAATCTTTAAAAAAATAAAATAATTTCTTTAATTTGCTTGACTAAGTGGATTCAAACAGACTGGTGATTTTCTTACAATGGCTATCCATTTTTATATTCCATCCCCCAATCTGTGCTCTGGATATTTTTTTTTATTCTTTTTTTTAACGATTTATTTATACAAGCACTGGGTCCTGTCAGAAGCGTGGGAAGGTAAGAGTATTCAGCAGAGCCAAAGCGGGGAACAGAACAGTCAGATTGATGAAATACACTGTTGAGAGGAGCAGCGGGCGCCATGTGGGACCCTCGCCGGCTGCTGGGGATCGAACCGGCTGCGGGCAGCTTCGCAGCCCAGTGCTCAACCACTGCACCACCGGGGAGTCCCTGGATATTTTCTATAGCTAGTTTACTGACTACATTAATCACTTTTAACCCCCACCTCCAGCTTTTGGCCCTGAGTGAGCCAGTTTCGGGTCTCATGATACCTTCTTTCCAAATTTTCTACTCTTAGCCTCCATTATTATCATCATGTTTTGTCAGGAAAATGCCAATTAAAACCACAATGAGATAACATCTCACAACTATGGAAATGACCTGTGCTAAAAAGACCAGAAACAAAAAGCTTCTCAAGGATGTGGAGAAAAGGAACTCTGGTACATTGTGGGTGGGAATGGAGACTGGTCCTGTATCCGGCTGAATGAGAGGCACCCAGACCCTCAAACTTGAATACTCTAAATGGGTTCTGCCACCCGTTGCATAAAGACAAAACATACTCTAATGTGTAAGATCTTCGATAGAAAATAATACAATTAGTGTGCAATAAAGAGAAGAGAAAAAATATAGTTATAGTAGTTACCAAAGATTCTATCCTATTGGGGCGAGAGAATTCACCAGAGCCGGAAACAAAACAGGCAGACTGATGATACACTGCTGAAGGGAGCAGCAGGCAGCAGGAGAGGACCTTGCGTCATGTGGGACCCTTGCCCACATGGCGCAGACCTCTCCTCTCTCTCCCACTGCTCCTCTCAGCAGTGTATTTTAGTCAATCCACCTCTTCTGCTCCCCACTCTGTCTCTGGTGACTCTTCTCTCCCCTCGCACTTCTGGCCTGTACCCCCATTCTTGTATGCATAAATAAACAAATCTTTTTTAAATAAAGAGCATATTTATTAGAAAAAGGGACAGAAAAGTGAAGGACACTTGCATAGACAAAAGTGGGCAGAAAGGGCTTCCCTAAAAGGGACAGGTTTGCTGAGAGTGGCCTGCATAAGGTTGCAAGCGGGCAGCCTTGAGGAGAGCAGCCTCCGCTGAGGGAGGTCGGTGAGGAGAAGCCCAAGCTGGTACAGGTTAGGGACAGGCAGCAAGTAGCTGCCCTGCAGAAGGACAGAGAGTTGGTGAAAAGAAGCACCTGTGCATATGCACAGGTGGGCAGAGGGCATGCTGTCCCTGCCAGTTCGGAGACTGCACTGATCTAGTCTTCTTCTCTTTGGGAGGGGCTCACTCCTTCATGGAGTGGCTTTTTGCTATTGATTTTGGATAACTATGTAGAATTTGAAGGGGACAGGAGATTCTACTATGGTCTTCAGTCTCCATGGCTTTACCTCTGGTCTGTACCCTAAGACATTAACAGCATCTGACACTTTGCCTGGGTCAGGGCCTTGGTGCCTGAGAATCTTAGTTCCTCTAGCTGGGTTAATGGCTATGTTAATCACTTCTACCCCCACCTCCTGCTCTTGGCATTATGGGGGCCAGGTTTCTGATCTTGTGGCACCTCCTTTCCAGTTTTCCTACCCTTGTCCTCTATCATTCCCCCCGACCATATCCACAGCCCTGGCCAACTAGGGCTCATACTTCTGCTGCAGAGGCTGTAGATAGCTTCATAGTGCTGTGCTCAACGTCTTGCGCCACCAGGGAGGCCCCTAAACCTGGTCTTTTAAACATAACTAACGTCTCTGTCTCATGGAGAAACTCGCCTGGGAAACTTGCCATGTGCCGCTGAAAGGGGAGCTCTGGTGAAACCTTTCCCAGAGTGAACCCAAGGACCCCGCTGTCTAAACCCATCAACCCCAAAACTGCATCGCTAAGACATCTCATATCTTTTTACTGATCAAAAACTTTATAATTTCTGAAATTTGATAGCAACAAAATTTTGTCACAGGCATAAACATAAATGGATTTTTATAAAACACTAAATTACCCAGAGTGACAACTAGAGGTTTTTAAAAATAGATTTTTTATTTATTTATTTATTTATTTATTTATTTTACAATATCAAGAATGCTGACTGTGTTGGGGGGAAAGGATGCCCTGAAAGAACTCCACAAACAGGTTTTGTGTTCTCCACCCTCACTCCAGACCAAGGAGATTCAAGACACCAAGAACTACAAATCCCATAATGTCCTCATCACGGAAGGGAGGGCTGCTGGGTTCTGAGGGTGGAATTAAGCAGCCAGGCCTGGTATATAATCAAATATGTGGGCCTTGGGGGTTTCCTGGCTCTTGGCTTTGGGCTCTTGGCTTTTCGCCAGCTCTCAGAGTATCATTGGGATTCCAGGTAAGAGGAACTGGTAGCATGCAGTTCAGTGTGGGGAGGGGCCTGGTGAGCAGGTCTGGGCCAGTCTCCCCACCTCCTCACATTATGCTAATAGGAGCACAGACACATGAGGATGCCCTCTGCAGCAAAAGAAACCAGGGCATCTTGAAGTCATGATGGGTAGATGAGTATCCTGAACCACTCAGTCCCCAGAAGGCAGTTATTTCACACTTAAAAGAAAATATCACAAATTCTGCAATCTCATATGTGTCGACATTGTCAGTGGTCCACCACATCCTCAGAATGTCCCCCTCACAGCTTCCCCATAACCTGGTCCCATCCTCTCTGCCCCAGCTCCTCCCACCACAGGACTCCAGGGTCTCACCTTAAGCAGCTGTGAGGCACATCAGAGCTCTGCACACTGTTGCTGTCTGGGGGAGAACAAAACAGAACCTGGTCAGAGCCATGAGAGATGAGACCACAGGAGGGACTGATGGGAGTGACTCCCCCATGGGCTCTCTCTACACTGTCCCCAGGGGCTCTGGGATAAACCCCTGATCCACACTTACCTGCAGCTGCAGTGTAGCTTCCTCCTTGTCTACCTGAAGGAAGAAACATCATGTGAGACCAGGGAGGAGTCAGCCCATGAAGTCCTAAAGGAATCCCCTAGTCCTGGACCACAGGGAAGTTTCCAGAACCGTGCCTGAGGACCCAGGGCAGGACTGGGAAATATGAAGAAAAGAGATGAGAGATGAGGTGGACTAAACATCTCCTAGAGTCTGTCCTCAGCAGGGACCGTCCCTTGACATTTGCTGGGAATCAGGTCCCCATCACCAGAATTATCAAGGTGAACAATAAGTGATTTATTTTCATAAGGGTTTCACAAAGCAGTGAGGACTAGTAATCAGCTCCAAACTGGGCAACACATGTATGTGCACAGTATTTCCATTCACTAAACAGGGCAAGTTCTCCCTGGGACATGAAAGCCCAGTAGACAAGACCCCCCACTCCCTTCCCTACCTGAGTGCTTCTTCCTCCACATCACAGCTGCAGCCACCGCAGCTCCAGTGAGCACAGCTCCAAGGAGAACCAGTCCAGCAATGATGGGTGTGGAGGACTGAGGACTGGTGGAGGACTGAGGAGGGGGCACTGGAAGGGAAGGGGAGGACAGACCCTGACCCCAAGGCCTCATCCTGCCTCTATGAAGATCTGCAGAAGCACTCTTGATCCCCCTTGAGAAAAGGCTCTGTGCCCACAACCCCCTCCTTACCCCAACTCAGGACTTGGGGCTCCAGCAGCCCCTGGTGCTGCACATGGCACGTGTATCTCTGCTCCTCTCCAGAAGGCACCACCACAGCCGCCCACTTCTGGAAGGTTCCATCACCCCTAGGCATGGTCTCCACCAGTTTTATGTTCGTCAGGTTCTCCCCATCTTGCTGCCAGGTCATGTTGATGTTTGCAGGGTAGAAGCCCAGTGCCCAGCACCTCAGGGTGACCTCATGCTCAGAGGTGGAGTGGTGGGGGGCCACATATGTCCTTGGGGGAACTGAGGAGAAGGGTGAGAACATTCACACTTGGGGTTTCTTCCACAAACACTGCAGCAGCCTCACTGACCATCCTCAGAATGGACAGAGCAATGAGTTTGGAAGGAGGAAGCAGAAAACCCTGAAACCAGCCTAGTGTGGGGAATGTAAGATAACCTTTTATTCATTAGAACGTTTTAGGATGGGGGTGAGAGCCTGAGGTAGGAAGATGCAGGTCTCCAAGGAGGAGAACACAGACATTTGCTCTTGATCTGGGTGGAGGGTGCATGAGGAATCATAGCTCATACCAAAAACAAGGCCTTGACAGAGAAACTAATTGCTCCCAAATTGGCTGCCCAGGCAAATGGAGCCAGTGACAGCTGCTCTCCCCTCTATTGTGGGAGAGACTGTATTTCTTCACTGTCCTGAAGTTTACAGAAGGGCCCTGTGGGTGAGTCTCTCTCTAGTACAGAAAATGAAACCCAGGGGAACTTCTCCCTCTCTGACCAGAAAGAAGGCCTCTTCTGGGCATTATCCCATTTTTTCCTGTGGGGCTCCAGGAGAGGGGAGGTCAGGAGTCCTCTAGGCCCCTCTCACCTGAGCGCTGCAGCACCTCCTTCCCCATCTCCAGGAATCTGTGCAGCCACTCCAGGCACCTGCCCTCTACAAGGTTCCTGATGCGCTCCGCCTCACCGCTGGCCTCCCACTTGCGCTGGGTGATCTGAGCCACTGTGTCCGCCGCCGTCCAGGAGCGCAGGTCCTCGCTCAGGGCCAGGTAATCCTCACCGTCGTAGGCCCACTGACTGTACCCGCGGAGGATGCGCCCGTTGGTCCCCGACTCGCAGCCAAACTTCCTCTGGAAGGTGTGAGACCCTGAGCCCCGACCCCGGGTCAGCATCACACTTACCTGGACCACACCCCCTAAATAAACCTAAACTGAAAATGAAACAGTGCAGCAGACAGTCCTGGGTGTCTTCCGGGGTTGAGTGTCTAGGTGGGCCCCACAGACTTGTGGTGTTGCTTGGACCCAAAGACTCGGGCAATCCCGATTGGACGTGGGGCGGTGACCTGGTCCTTGGCCCTCATAGCTCACCGTCCTCACTCTGGTTGTAGTGGCTGCGCAGGTCCCTCAGGAGCGCTTTGAACTTCTGTGCATTGTTCCTTTGGATCAGAGTCTCCTGATCCAGGTCCTCCTGCCCCACCTGCCCCGCCCAGGGCGCCCGCGGCTCCGCACTCTGGCTGGGAGAGTCGCTGTCGAACCGCCCGAACTGCGTGTCGTCCACGTAGCCCACGGCGATGTAGTGGGGGTCTCCGAGGCCAGGGCGGGACGTCGCGGTGTAGAAAAGCCTCAGGGAGTGGGAACCTGGGGTGGGAGGGGAGACCTGGGCTGACCACCCTTCCTGCAGCGGTGCCTGAATCCTTGTCTGACGTGGACAACATAGAAGGTGGCGTGGAGGTCTAGTGAGATTGACTAGGGGCTGGGGGAGCAGGGCCCGGACTGAGGGGGGTGGGAGGCAGAGCAGGAAGATTGTGGGAGGCTGGGAGCAAGGACTGGTTTGGGAGAGGAAGATCAATAGGGCCAACTGCTGCATATCACGCTGCCTTTCCGGGTCCTGGGCCCCAGCCTGGTCCCCTGGCTCCACTCTAGGCAGCGCTCATTTCCCCTCAGGCACCGCACTCACCTGTCCAGTTCACTGCCAGGGTCAGTGTCCCCGAAAGCAGCAGCAGGAAGGGTAGGGGCTTCCAGACTCGCATCTGCTGGGTTTCCAGAGACTCTGAGTCCTGGCGCCATGAGTCCACACCATGGAACTTGGACTTTACCCTGCCTCGCCTCTCCTGCACAAACACCTTTATCACACTTCCTGCGTCCAGGCCCAGGGGCTGGGTCAGCATTTCTCAAACATTTTCTGTTCAGAATCTGTGTACAGTCTTACAAACTAGCCAGAACCCCAGGTATAATTTTATTTATGAGTTTATAGCTATCAGTATTTATCACACAGAGAATAAACCACTTTTAAAGATGTTACTATTTCATTTAGAATAACATTAATAAGCCAATGCACAAAACAGGAAGTGTTCTTAAGAAAAATAACTATTGGGCCTCTCTGGTGACGCAAGGGGTTAAGAACCGCACTATGAGGCAATCCACAGCCTCTGCAGCAGGAGTTGGATCCCCATTGGGCCAGCGAGCAACCCACATGGCACAGCAGACCTCTCTTATCTTCCCCCCCTGCGCCCCTCAGCAGTGTATTTCGTCAGTCTACCTGTTCTGTTCCCCATTCTGTCTCTGGTGGATCCTCTTATTCCCCCCCATCTCAGTCCTGTACCCCAGCTCTTGTATGCATAAATAAATAAATCTTTAAAAAAAAAGAAAACTAACTATTATGAAAATAGTCAGGCAATGAGAAGAGTGGATCTTTTACATTTTATATATTCTTAAAAGATTCATATTTAATTATTTATGCATACAAGAACTGAGGTATAGTCCAGAGGTGGGTGGGGGAGGGGTGTGTGTGTGAGAGGATTCACCAGAGACAGAGTGGGGAACAGAACAGGCAGACTGACTGAAATACACTGCTGAGGGGAGCAGCAGGTGGGACAGGAGAGGTCTGCTGCGCCATATGGTCAGCTCCCTGGCTGGAGATGGAACTCAGGCCCCAGTGGCCGGCAATAGCTTAACAGACTTTAACCCCTCTATCACAAGGGACACCTCACCAAATTGATGATAATTTTTGTCATTCATTCCTTCAAGTAAATATGGTATTGTCAAAAGAAAGAAAAGAAAAGGAAAGAAAGAAAAAAAAAAAAAAGAATGTAGTGCACCTCATACAAATTATTTTTCTTGGGATATACTACTTTGGATTGTATCAATATTGAAGTGATTTATATGCACTCTGTCATCAGAAACTGAGTTTATTTTTCTCAGGCTTGAAGAGATGCTTCCCTGCTTCCAGAGCCTCCCTGGCCAGGACCCCACAGCTCTTCACACTGGACAGGGCGGTCTCTGTCCATGTCCTGCTCCCTCCCTTCTGCTCCCTCCTGTGCAGCCCTTCTCCTCTGGGCTCAGGTGCTGGCCCTGCCTGTGGAAGGTATGCAATGACAGTTCATCCCCAAATTTGCTGCCTCATTCCAGTCAATATTTGCGGGGGCCTCCCTGGTGGCACAGGGGTTAAATCTCAGGGCTATCAAGCTATCCCCAGCCACTGTGGCCTGAGTTTGATCCCAGGCCGGGGAGCTGACCCACATGGCACAGCAGACCTCTCCTGTCTCATCTGCTGCTCCCCTCAGCAGTGTAATGCAGTGTAATGTTCTGCTCCCTATTCTGTCTCTCTTGTATTCTCTCACCACCACCACTACCCCCCTGCACCTCTGGCCTATACCCTAGTGCTTGTATGCATAAATAAATAAAAATAAATCTTAAAAAAAATCGCCAGTCAATATTTGTTGTTTCTCATGGTTAACAACAGCTGACAATGGTCTAGTCTGAAAATGTTTTCCTCCTCTGGCCCTAAGTTTAGTTTAAATGTGGGACATGTTTTCAATGAAATTGAATCATTAGATGTTCTGGAATAAATAATGAAAACACTGTGTACTGAGCTAATGAAAATTATAATGTATTATATTGGGAGGATGAGGTTGTGTGAAAAGGAGTTAATTCACTCAATGAAACATAAAACTCAACAAAGAGTCCTGGCAGAATGGTATCGGGAGGCAGAGAATAACAATTAGAGAATAATGAAGTAAAACAGGTTGTCGATGAGATTCCAGATACGGGGAACATGGAAGGTGGGGACATCTATCTTCATAATAAACTCTGTACAAGTATTGGACTTTTAAAATTAAGTGCATATATATTTTAAAAATAAAATAGGACAATTTTATAACAACATAGTGCATAGAAGTTCTGTGAATGTGATCTCTCATTCAGTATCTCATTATACATAAAAGTTTTTACCCCAGTTGATTGTGGGAAACTGAAACCTTGGAAAGTGAAACTGCACCACCTGCATAGGGGTGACCAGGATGTGGAACTGTTATAGGGCAACCCTGATACAAAACGGGGTGCCTGACTGTGGGTCCTCACCTGTGCGCTTAAAAGGACTTATCAATGCTCTACTGCAGGCACACCCGAAAGGTTAATAAAAGGTTTATTTACAAGGGAAGGGGAAATGAGGAAATGTACAGCTCAGGGAGAAAAGTGGGAGACAAAGTTTTAATGCGTCCTACCTGATACATGGATCTGGAATCCCAAATGACACTCTGAGAGCTGGCCGCGAGCCAGGAGCTGTGAAGCCAGGAGGTGAGCAACAGAGTGAGAGCCCCCAAGGCCCACGTGTTTGGTTTTTATACCAACCCTGGCTGCTTAACTCCACCCTCAGGTCCCAGCCACCTTCCCTTTGGTGGTGATGGGATTTGTCTTTCCCAATGTCCTGATGGCTTTAGTCTGGAGTGGGGGTGGAGTCCACAAAGCCTGCATGGAATTAGCTCAGGACATCCTTTCCCCCAAACAGAATGACAGGACCCCCACTCACCGCTGGCAGGAATACCACATAGCACAGTCTCTATGGAAGCTATCTGACAGTTTCTTACAAGGTTAAGTACAGACTTACCCTAGAACCTGCTGATCACCCTCCTAGGTGTTTACTCAACTCATCTGAAAAGTTATGTTTTGCACAAAACCTGCACATGAACATTCACAGCAGAGCACTCCTTAAGTGTGGGCTCCACATGGTGACTCCTTCCAAAGACTGCAGCGTGGAAAGGGACATAGAGAAGAAGGAACTTCCCAGGGAGGAAGTGGGAGACCGACCTCAGCCAGGGGGAAGGTGACACCATCAGTTAAGGTCAAGCGCATTTTATTCCCCCTTACTCTGTTGTTGAAAATGGGAGTTCCTGTGTGTGGTCTCTTCTTTGAACCCATCATCCCAGGCAAGCAGGACATGCTACACAACCCCTGAGCAGCGCTCCCCTAATGCCAAGACCATCAAAACCAGGGAGAGTCTGAGAGACTGACTCAGCCAGAGGAGCCTCAGGAGACACAACTGGGATTTGCTTAATGCGGTATCAGGATGGAAGCCTGGGACAGAAAAAGGAAAAAAAAAAATCTCAAACTAATGACATCCAAATAAGCTTGGAGTTTAGTAATAACATATCGGTATCACGTCATTAGCTGTGCAAACACTGAACGAGGAAAATAGGAAATGGGAACAAGCAGGGAGTTAGGAGCAGGGGCCCCAAGCCTCAGGCCCATTTCTCAAACTGAACAATCAGTGGGAACCTGGAGGGGCCCCCCAAGCCCAGATGTCTCAAACTCATTTATCAACCAAATGGGAACAGTTGATGGGCGTCGGGGGCCACCAACCCAGTTAACAATGGAATGTGCAGGACACTGACAATGACAGGACGCTCAGGCCACAGACCAAAGCTGGTTCTGGGGAGACAGGCCAGGGAACGTGGACAATTCAGTTGACCTCAGGGACCTAGGAGACCCACAGACCCCAACCAATCTGCAAGAGACACAACGTGGAGACACCCAATAGCCAAACACTCCCACTCCTTGCCCACTATACCCATATAAACTCTTTTAGGCCCCTCAGCAGTAGCTCCCTGGGGATCCCTTTCTAATTAGAGAGCTTTCCTGTCCTTCATAACTGCCAGTAACCTTCTTGCTTTCCTGCCTAACTACAAAAGAACTGAGAGACCCCCCACCCAGAAGTCCCCAGGCCCCCAGACCCTATTCATCATGAAAGTGATATTAATTGTTAACAACAGGAGACATGAGTGTGGGAGTTACAGGAACTCTGCTAATTTTACAGGTTTTCTGCACATTATAAATTACCCTAGAATAACAGTTTTATTTCAAAAAATAGCCCTCAGGATGTAGACTGATCCACTCCCTGTGGAAAATAATGTTCAGGTTTCTCAAAACATTAAAAATGATAGAGCATATTATCCAGCAATTCCACTCTTTGCTGTTTAGCCAAAGATGCAAAAACACCAACCTGAAAAGATGCACGCGTCCTGTGCTCACTGCAGCACCCTGAACAGCAGCTGAGTGATGGGAACCACCTAAGTGCCCAACAGCAGAGGAGTGGGGTAAGAAGATATGGTATATATACTCGGTGGAATATTACTCAGCTATGAAAAAAATCTTTCCCTTTGCAACATCATGAATAGAACTGGAGGGGATTAGGCTAGCAGAAATAAGTCAGAAGGAAAAAATCATATATTAGATGTTTTAACTCATACGCAAAATATCAAGAAACCAAAAAAAATAAAATAAAAGGTCAGAAAAAAACAAACCAAAATAAACCCTGGCACTTGACTGCAGCAATGAGGCTACTAGAGGGGGAGGAAGGGTGAAAGAGAGTGTGGCCACATGGTTGAACACAGAAGACCCAGAACCCTTTGGCCTCCCAGAGGAACAGAACTGTGCACACAGTGGGAAGCCCCCATACAGAGTCAGGTTCAGTATCTAAATTGTTTTGCCAAACACACACTGACATAATGGTCTCTGTCCATTAATAACCACAGACTTTGGATCAGGCAAGAGCAGATCCCCAGGCCACAACAACTAAAACCAGCCCCAGGGTGGGCCCCACAAACATACCAGGTCTCCTCAGGCTCTTGGGATGACACCTTGACCCAGAGGCCCTGTCATGTGTTCCTGCTGCTGATTTTGAAGAGCAGAGCTCGGGCCACCTGTCACCACCCAATGCCAATAAAGTAGAGACAGGAATTGAATCTTTAATTTGCCTTTTAATCAGATAGTGGCAATGCAAAGATGGGGGTTAACACCCTAAAGAAACCACCTTCCCATTTCATTTCCAGTTGCCTTTTTATAGTGAGATGAACACAGACAGTTGGGCAGTGAGCAGGCCTTCGCCGCTGCC